AAACACCTAAATAATCCTTTCTAAAAATAACCGTGCATGGTGGTGCATGCCTGTAGTCAGAGTACTTGGGAGGCTGAGGCATGGGACTGCCACAAATTTGAGACCTACCTGGGTTCCACAGTGAGTTCAAAGCAAGCTTGGACATTATACCAAGACCCTGTCTCAAAAAACAAAATAAAACAAGAAACAATAGTATTTCTCAAATAACTTCAGTACAAAAATTTGAGAAATCTTGTCTTAGTGAAAATACTTAACTTTTATTTTAAAAAACAGATTGAGTCATAAAGATAATAGGTATACAGAGAACGGTTAAAAAAACAGGCCTGAACCTGTTACTTTGAAAAAAGCCTTTTTATAAGATAGGCTGGTGTCTATAAGCTTGGAAGCATTTTGAGATAGTTCCCCCCAACCAAAGAGTGGCTCATATGTTTAAACTGTATGTGCAAAGAATACATCTGCTTTCCATCTAGTAGTCTGGTATTTTGGTACCTGTATGTAGAAGATGCCTATGTGACCAGGTCACACAGAAAACTTGGGCACTGAATCTCTAACCAAGTTCCCTGGCAGACAACATTTCACATACATCACAGCTCAGTAGAAGAACTGAAGGAGATCTCATGTAACCCTACTGGGAGAGAACTCCTAAAAGTCTGTGCCTAGTTTCCTGTGGACTTTTGAATCGTATCATTTATCAACTATATTTCTCTATTACCATCCTAAAAATATATCCCTTATTGCAAATGTTGCCTCTTTCCATTCCCAAAAAGTGATCTTTGGAAAATTCTAATATAATCATATCATTCTCCAGGTACCTTTGTCCTTGATCAGTTTTGCACTGCATCCTTTCCTTGTAACAGGTCTTAATAGAGGACACTATACATTGTCTTAGGAGTCCTCTTATAAGAATCGTCAAACCTGTAAGTGGTCAGTCTTCACAACTCATAACATAACACAATAATAAAACAGATACTGTGAATTCTTTGAATATTATTATGGATTCTCAGGGCACTTCACTTTTATATACATAAACATGCCCCTAAAAGCCACTGTTTGGCTCACTACATGAAAATCATTCAGTAAGTTTGTAGGCCTAACCCCTAGTGATTTTGATTTGGTAGGTCTTAATTTCTACAATTTAAGAATCACATTCCTAAAGAAAAATGGTCATTTACTTATTATATAGTGTGTTTCCAAATGCAATACTCAGCTTTATCATTTGTAGGACAGCTGTGTATTTATTTATAGATTAATTCATTATCACTAATTTTTAGATGTTAGAACAATTCCAAAACCGATAAAGTAGATTTTCTCTTTCTTTCCTGTATTTTTATTGGGTAGAATTATAATCATAGACCTTTATTGTTCACATTGTTACAACTAATTAAGAGTTATTATTTGTTATGATACTGAATTTGGAAAGCAGAATCACATTCAAATTAGTTCTTTTGCCTTCTGATATTCCTCCATGATTTGTAGGAACATTAATTGGAATCATCTATATAATTGACCCTGTCCTTAGAATATCATCACTAAAAGGTTTTTAAATTTTGGGGGTGTGGGCAGTATTGACGATTGAACCCAGGGCCTGAGCTATAATCGCAGATGTTTAAAAAAATATTTTGAGACAGTCTCCAAAGTCACTAAATTGCCTAGGCTGGGCTTGAACTTGTAATCCAAGCAATTCTCATGCTTCAGATTCCCAGAGTGCTGGGACTACAGGTGTGTGCTAACATACTCAGCTTGTTTTTAACTTGTTCCATGGTAAAATACATCTACCTTTTAAAAGTAATATCTAATTTAAATTATTAGTAAAGAAATTTTACCTTATCTCTAGCTTGCACATATAAGCCTCACTTTTCTTACAAGATATTTTAGGTAATTCATTAGGAAAATGGATACATATTGAGGATATACTCCTAAGTGAAATAAATAAGTCACACGTGTAAATACCGAATAGTTTCTCTGGGGTGAATAAACTATAATAGTACATAAGATCCTAATGATATAATGGACAATGTGAAATAGGAAGAAAGGGGCTAAAGGTGTAGGGAAAGTGGGAAGGGTAGGGAAAAGCTAAAAAGGGGGAAAATGTGAGAAAATGAAAAAATGGAAATGAAGTGTTTGTAAAGGGGGAGGGGAGGAGGGGTGAAGGGAGGGCAGGGATAAGGGGGAAAAAATGAGAACCAAGACCTGTCATGTAAAGGTACAAGACCCCAATAATGAATGTAACTGTATTGTACACCTAAAATGTACCAATAAACTCAATGAGGAAAAACAAAGATATTTTAGATAATATATTCGGAGTTTATGTTGTATATAATGAAAAAGAGGTCCAATTTTATTTTGTTCCACATGGGTACCTATTTCTATCACTATCACCAACTAATTCATTATTTTTTCATGAATTTGAACTATATTTGTCATATTTTAAATTTTAAATCTGATCCACTCATCTATTCCTAAACAAATTCCATTACTTTATTATAATGGATATCCTAAATCTTTCTTTCAAACTTAGGGTAAAATCAATTAGAGATCATGCACAGTAAAATAGCTCTGGTTATTATGCCTAATACAAAGTACAACTCGTTTTTTTAATACATTAATTTTTAACAAGGTATTATAAGAACCCTAGCAATTCACTCAATGAGCAATTCATTCAATTGTTACATGCATTTATGGCTGTTAAAAGACAAATCTACAGAAATAGCTTGTTCTAATTTTTTATTCATTAATTCATTCATTTATTTTGATAGACCCTTGCTAATTCTAGCCAAGCCAGCCTAGAACTCTTGATCCTTCTTCTTCAGCATCCTGAGTAGCTGAGATTTCAAGCACACACCACCACATTTATTCAAAAAAGTTTGTAGAACACTTCTTCCAATTTTTAAATTAGAAAGCTCACAAGTTTTCCAAATGATCAATAATATAGAATTTAACAAAGCTATTCTACTTGGAATAAATATAAATAGGTATACTTCTTTTCCAAAATACAATTAACTTCATTTATCTATTTTTAGTAAGAAAAAAAATTTTCATACCTGAGCATTTGAATTACTGAGTGTCTCAGTTCCAATAAGCGATAATTTATTCTGACACTTGATTTAAAAGGGAAAGAAAAACAAGTCAGATACTAAAAACCATAGATAATTCCTTTCCCTTCCCCTTTTGTACCATTCCAACATAATACTCCTCAAAAATAACATACAAATATCTGATATATGAGTTTGTTTAAAGCCTCATTTTAGGCAAGAGAATCACAAAGGCAGCCAAACAGGTCCCAAAGTGAGTATATCAAAAGGGAAAAACTAGAATGGTAGAAAAAGAACAAAACTAATACCTAGAATGAATTGTAAGCTATGGTAAGAAAAAACCAGAAGCTAAGAGAATAAGAAAGAACCTAATGTAGAAAAAAAGGTAGGTAGTTAAGATTATATGAAAATAAAGCCTTCAAGAGATATTGTTTTAAGCCGTAAAAAAATCAAAAGCTATTCACAATGACTGTATCTGAGAGTAAAAACAGAGTGACTTAAATTTTATTGGTGCTTTTTTCTTGTAATTTTTCTACAGGAAAATTTTAGTAATCTTTGAACCCCAATTTTTATATCTACATACACAAGATTAAAAAATAATGTATTAAACATATTAATAATGTAAAGTATGAAGGATTTATGTTAAAAATGATTTTAAAAAAGATTCCACTAATCTGTCTTGCTCTGAAACCTCTCTGGGAAGAAAAGAATGCTAAAAATTTCTGTGGCCCATATTACATAGTGTATTATTTTGGGTAGAACTAATTTTTACCAAAATACTGTTGTGTTGTTCTAGCTCATGAAAACAGAAAATGTACTCGCATTTTAAACTCATTGTGTTTACACTAATAATTATGCATTTGTTCCATTTCTATGTACTCTATTTTAGGGAATATACCCACCAACCACCCAAAAAAGCCTAAGCCATGAACTTGAAACTATTCATTGTAATCACCTCTTTTTACATTAATGAACTTCTACATCCTTTTGGTCTTACCTTCTTAGTGTCTCTTCTAACTCATTCTTCTACTTGCCATAACAGTATTTAGGCCTTCATTACTTCCAAGTAGGATTATTGCTAGAATCTTCTAATGTTCTTTGTACTTTTAGTTTCACTATATTCCACTCTCTTCCAATCCACAAGAGTTAATTTTCCTAATCTGCATATCTGATCAGGTCATTTCTGTGCTTATAATCCTTAAATAGCTTCCCACAGTACATATCCACTAAAATCCTGCATGGTTTTACTTTCATGGTTTACTTCATCGTCTCATTCACAAGTCTTTGCTCCTAATTTATATTACCCACAAAATTCTACTTAGAATTCTCCAAACTTTCCAAACTTTATAGATTGTGACCGTCCAGAATTGTATACCATCTCTTCTATTTGATTTTATTCTTTTTTCTGGGGGGGATAGGGAGTGAACCCATGGCACTCTATCACTGTGCTACATTCCTATCCCTTTTTATTTTAGTTTGAGACAAGATCTCACTATGTTGCTCAGGCTGTCCTTGAAATTTTCTTTTCTTTTCAGTACCCGGAATCGAACTCAGTACCCTGTGCTTGGGCTGGGGATTTAGCTCAGTGGTTCTGCTGCACGCTTTCCAAGCACAAGGTCCTGAGTTCAACCCCCTGAACCAGAAAAAAAAAGCAGGCACAGTGCCGCTGAGTTAAATTCCTACCCTTGAAATTTCAATTCACTACTTCAGCCTCCTAGGTAGCTGGAATTACAAGCATGTAACACCACATCTAGCTAACTCTCCTATTTACACAGCTAACTTGTTTATTATTTAGAAACAAAATCAATTATTACTTCATTCTTGTCTTATAGAAAGCTATCTTCAACTTCATCAGCCTAGGTTAAGTATTCTTCCTAAGTGTAGTTTTTGTATAATACTTCTAATACTTTATTACATATAATATGTATAGCTATTGCTTACATAAGATGATCATCTCTTTGAGAGTAGGAACTGCTGTGATTTTCTTTCTACAGCTTATCTAGTATAGTTTCTTGAATGACACCTGTATGTGCACTTTTTATATCTAAAAAGTACAAAAATATTCACTACATAAAATAATAGATTTTGGCAACTAGACTATTTCTAATCTAAGTGTAATTATTATTAAACTCGATTTAAATTTTACATTAATTGATAAATCTTTTATCTCTTGGTACTTACTTCTTCCATGTCTTTCCACATTTCTTCACACTCTTTAATAAGTTCTTCTTCAGTATCTGCAACAACTTCCATATCTGTACTGCTATCTGGATCTAATCCTTGCTGATTCATGTGCTTTGTGATTTTCTCAGCCTTAAAAGAAAAACTAAAGTAAAAAAATGTTTATTCCCCACATGTTATTTGTTGAGATACTTACTTATTACCTGTCAGATACTCATCAAAATGATAAAGCTGTAGCAGTTACCAAAATAGACAAGTCTTTTTTTACTGACAGGAAAGCACTAATACACTGTTCTATGAGGGAACAGAGCCATTAGGCAAAATATTATGAATATTCCTAAGAGGAAAAAAGACCAGAATTTTTCATGATTCAGCAATTCCATCACTGGATAGATTCCCAAAGGTAAGGAAATAAATATAAGGAAGAGATATCTGCACTCTCATATTTATTGCAGCACAATTCACAATAGCTAATATATGGACTCAATCTAGGCATCCACTAGCAGATGAATGAAGAACATGTGATATAATACAGTGAAATATTATGCAGACATAAAAAAGAATAAAACCCTGTCATTTGCAGCAACAAAGCCTATAAAATATAAATAAGGCAAAGAAAGACAAGTACAATATTTTCTGACTTGTATGTGGAAGCTAAAATAGTTGATCTCACAAAGAAGAGAATAGAACAGTGGCTACTGGGGACTGGGAAGGTAGGAATGGAATGGAGAAAGGATGCTCAATGGGCATATGGATGTAGTTGGATAGGTCAAATACTTTCTAATGTTCTATAGCACAGCAGGATAACTACAATTGACCAGAATCATTTATTTCAAAATATCTAATAGAGAGGATTTTGAACACTTCCAGCAAAAAGACACGATAAATGTTCGAGGTGACAGATAATGCCAATTCCCTGATTTGTACATAGTCAACATGTATTGGAATGTCATACTGTATCCCATGAGTATTTACAATTATATGTCTATTAAAAATTTTAAAAAGAGAAAGAAAATTACCATTTAAACTGCTGGAGAAATAACTAGTATGAACTAAAACAAAATTTCTACATGGAGCTTATTTTAGTGAAAGAAGACAGACAATAGTGAAAAAAAATTATTTCATTTAAGTATGTTATACTTACCATACATATGAAAGGATATATTGAAAAAAGGACACAGTACAAAGGATTTGTAACTGGCATAAAGAAAAGAAAGGGATGAAACATAGGGAATGCTAGGCTGGGGAAAGAGTGGCTTAGGATAAATGTACATGAGGTTCACCCATTTTAATAGGCGCGTCAACCAGGGCATAAATGCAGGTAAGTAATTATATGCGTTGGTAGGAGCTTATGGAAATTGTTTAGATTATTTATCCTTAGTGAATGAAATTATAACTAAGGTAATCAGCTATGAATGAGGATGGAAAGAAAGTAACAGATTTAAAAGCAAAGGAAAAGAAATGTATAAAACATTTATTGGAAGGGACATATATAAGGATATTAAAAATCACTAAGCATTGGCAGTGCATTGCAAAAGATATGAGTAAGCCAGGAGCTAAAAATATACAAGGAGTAAAGAAAAGTGACATAACTTTCCTTGACTGCTGCAATGAGTGGCAGGTAGTACAATATGGTAGCATAGAATTTCAAAATAGACATTAAGGAAGCAGACAAAGCAATAAAAAACAAGGAAGACTTTATTCCCACAACATCCTATGCAAAACAGAATAAACACCCTCAAAAGTATTATTTATATGGAATTTTTGTTTGTTTTTGGTACTGAGGATCAAACTTGGGACCGCATGCTTGTGAGGCAGGCGGCAGATATATGGAACTAAATGCTAAATCACTAACATCAACAGAGAAGTTCAAAAATAAATCTAAATGGATGGAAACATAGATCATATTCATATATTGGAAAACTCAATACTGTAAAGATGTTAATTCTCCAAGATGATCTACTGAATCTTAATTAAAATACTAAAAGTTTCTGTGGCACTTGACTAGCAAATTTCAGAACTTATATAGAAGTGCAAAGAGCCAAAAACATCCAAGATTCTCATGAAAAGTAAGGTGAAAAACTTACTCTATCAGGTCTTAAATATATATAACTATACTAATTATTACTGTATAACTATACTAGTTAAGTGTGCAACTGGCATATGAATAAAAAAACTGAATAACAAAACAGAATACAAAGCCTTTGTTGACATTCTAGACTCATATATATAGAGACAGAAACAGATATAGATATCTACACCTAACATATAAAGAGCTATATCAGTGTTAGCTATTAACAATCTGAATGTCAGTTAGAAGGTCACAATAACATATATAAAAAATGATTATGCTAAATACCTTACCTGTCTTATTTTCTATTTTTAATATTTTAAGGAATTAAGAGCAAATTGATCTTTCCCCACTTTGCAGAATACTAATCGTTAAAATACATATCAGCACACAAAAATGTGTACAGATATTAAAATTAGAGGACTTGGCAATGCAATGTAGCATTAGAATACAAATAAGAACATTTAGTTATAGGTTGCTATTTTCACATTAAGAAGATACAAGAAGTCATTTGTCTGCAACTTGGAAGAAAGCCTTCACCAAAACCAGAAAATGCCAGCACGCTAATCTCACATTCAGCCTATGATAAATTTGATGTGTATTTTAAAACACACTCACCAGATACATTTAAGGATTTAATTTTATCCTTTTCCCACATTTTGTATCCCTAACTCTATCTTTCTAGAAAAGGAACAAGTTAATTTTTTAAGGTCCCAGTTAGGATTACAATACCTAACAATTTATTCAAAAACATCACTATATTTAGGGATAATACTATGCTATACCAATTTAAGGAAACTCAAACTATTAATTTGAAGAAAACTAAAAAATATAAAATAAATGTATAAAGTATTCAGTTGGAATTCTGAGAATGTAAAAGTCAAATTTGTGAGGCATAAAAGTAAGTCTAGGGATGAGGCCATCCGCCTCTCAAACAAAAGGTCTTGAGTTCGATCCCCGGTACAAAAAAAAAAAAAAAAAAAAAAAAGGAAGTCTGATTACAGCAGAAGGCAAAGAAGAAATGTGATTTGCTAGGTAAGATGGGCAAAATAATAGGCGCTTTTGCCATTTCAAAAACCATCAATAAACCGCTTTAAAGCCTACTATGGGCAGTTCCTTTCCTGTACAGAAGTCTACCTGTGGGGGCTGAGGGTTTAGCTCAATGGTTCCTGCGCCTGCCTCGAGAAGTCTAACCGTGGTATCTGCTTCAAAGCAAAAGTAACTTCTTGGTTTTTGAATTGGCTAGGCTTTTGAAAGCAGAGTTAAAATTGCTTTAATTTTTAAAAACGGAGGTCCTATTTAACAGATTTATAAAAAGGTTAAGATGCTAAATTTCGTGCAATTTTTGTTAAATTTCGTGCAATTTATGGTAAAGAGCGATGTGGGAGGCGGAGACAGTCAGACACTGAGGTCCCTAAGGCTTCCAGAAGACAGCCTGGCCCAGGGTGAAGGGGTCACTGCTCAAGCCTTGAGCCACTGCAGGTTACTAGAGGTGGCTGGTTCTCCACCCCACGTCCCCCGGGGCCGCAAACTGTAACAAGTACTCGCCATTCTCCTCAGCGTGTGAGAAAATAAAGATAAGCGCTATGGGGGCGGCGGTCACAAGTTAGAGAATTTCTTCCAACCCTGAGTCTTTCTTTTGGAACCAGCGGGATTCTAGAACTGACGTCGAGCGGCAGGCAGAGAAAACTAGACTTAAGGCCCCGCTGGACTTCGGGTATCTAGTTCCTCAGTGACAAGGTTCCCATTTTGGGAAATGGCGCTCCAAATCCTGTAAACTGCCAGTCCCGGAGGCAAATTTAAAATAAGAGCTCTCCCCCGCTCTTCTCTTACCGTCTGAGAGACACAGCTCCCTAGCCTTCGGGTCGCCTCAGCTTTGCGTACTCCGAGCGAGGTGGGGGAGATGTGCGCGCGCTGCTTGCTGATTGGATCTGCTACTGCCCATCCTAGCCAATCCCGAAACTCGGTCAGACGCTGACGACACGCTGCGCCGCTGTTTGGAATTGGTAGTTGAACTATGCGTCTCATCTCTTCTGACGATTCAGAGAACATGGCCGCGGAGAGTGGTAGCGAGTTCCGGACAAGAGGAAGGCGGCGCCGGGACACAGAGGAACCTGAGAAAACAGAACTCAGCGAGAGAGAGCTGGCAGCGGCAGTGGCCCAAGAAAATGATGAGGACAATGAAGAGCGCTGGGTTGGGCCTTTACCTGTGGAGGCAACACTGGCCAAGAAGAGGAGAGGTAGCTGCGGAGATAGAACAAGGGTGAATTGGAATGCCGTACCTAAGTGGGAGGTTTCAGTTAGTGCAGGACCGAAAGACGGGTGGTGTGTGATTATGGGATATTGTGCTCAGAACATACTGTCATCTCATTTCTGACAGTTTGGTACCTGACTGTCCACGTAGAATGGTGATGTGTGTTGGAGCGAATTTTTGCTAATATGTAATAATGTTGGTCATTGATTCATTATAATTAATGCTAAAGCTAACATGCTTGGTGCCTCTCATTTAATCCCCGTAGCAGCCACATGAAGTTGAAATTTCTAATTCCGTTTAGCAAATATGGGAAAGAATACTGCTTCTCTCTAAATCTTTAGTTTGGAAGTGGTGTTATTGGGGTACAGGAGGAAGGCAGTGCCTATTTAAAATTATAAAGCAAAGGAATTTCAATCCCGAATGTTCTTGTAATGAGTATTCAGACCTAGGGAAAGTCATTTAAGCTTCCTGGTCACATTTTTTTTCTTTTCCACCCAAAACCTAAGGTCGGTGCTTTTCAAACTATGCTCTTAAAATATCGCGGACTGGAACATTTTCCCACTAATGTGAAAAGATAAATTTTTGTCAAAAAGAATGGGGAAAGGGATAGATAAAATTTTCTTGTTTTTCAAGTTTTTCTGTTTAAGAGTTTCCTTAAATGTTTATGATAATTAAAATATTTCTTAGCTCATGTTTTAATACTCTTCTCTACTTAAACCATTTAAGCGACATTTTAAAATTTTAATTTTAATTTTAATTTTTTGGTACCGGGGATTGAACTCAGGACCTTGCACTTGTGCAAGGCAGCCACGGCACGACTGAGTTACATCCCTGGCCCTTAAGTGACTTTTTTTTTAAAGCCAAATCTTAACTTTCTAACATGAGTTTAAGTCCTTCCTTATATGATCTGTCTTTACCTCCCCAGTATATTGCGCTGCACCGGTACTTAACTACTTGAGAACTCTTCTCTGGATGCTGGCCCCAATTATCATGGTGTATATGATAAATCTGAAATAATTTATCTCCCTTGACTGGATTAAATTGTTTAATCTCTAGTACTTAGCTGTCACCTCCTCTGGGAAAACTTGACTGGGTTTCAAGGGTCTTTGATCCTAACTCTGAGATAATGTTTTTCACATTGTTTACAAGAGGCCTTCACATTTTGAAGCCACTTTTTAAAACATTGTATATTGAATTCCTTAAAATGCATTTTTTTTCTTACTGGCTGGTCCTTTTAAATGTTTCCATAGCAGTCTTTTCCTTCATGACACCTGCTAGAGTTTGCAACTGAATATTAACTCTTGTGGCTTTCTGATTGTTTCTTTCCACTGCTAAGACTAAACATTAGAAACAAGGATTGTGCCAGTTTTGCTCCAGTGCTTGGTACCATGCTTTGTGTATAGCAGGTGCTCTATAAATATATTAAATGAATGAATATTATAACACATTTTTAAATTATTTTATTGTATTTAAATATTTCACATGTTCTCTTTTAATGAAAGAAATGGGGGTAAATGAAAAAACCCACAAACTGTTGAAATGCTGATATTAATTTTAGGAAATAAGTGTCTTATGAATTTTGTATAACTGAGACAGAGATGAAACTATTAGATATGAAAATCTTTACCCTTAATCAGATGTTTATTTTTTAGGCCAGCCAAGAGTGTGTACAGTATTCAGTTTAAAGAAACAATTAAAACTAAAAAACATGAAAGAAATGTTAAAAAAATATAAAAATTTCTCTTAAAGGACAAGTTTAATAACATTAGCTTTCTAGAAATGGATCCATCCCCTTTAATGTATTCTTTGGAAATTAGACTTTGGTATATATATATATTTTGACATTAATAATTACAGGTATACTTTGTGTATAAAAGCCTCAAGGCATACAATCCAGGATTAGTATGCAGGCATCAAAGTTTCCTAGGCTTGCTTTCTATTCCTAGAGCATGGTCTTCATCTTCATTGTTCTGACTTATTAATAGAATTATAGCAGCCATATTCCAATTCCAAGATACAGGATTGAAGAAGGGAAAGGGGGTATACTTTTCAAGGAAACTTTCTATCACAAAACACAGTATAACTTTTTACATTATTACTAAAGGGGAAAGTGAGACAAGACATCTTTAACTGTATGTCAATAAGCCCACGTAAAATTGGAGAATCTTGTTACTAATAAGGTAAAAGTAGTTTGCTAAATATATAAAATTCAGGTGTGCTATGCAACAGATTAGAAAAATCACAATAACTCATGTTCAATTTAGCAACTTTATATAGGCATGTTTGACCATTATTGGATTATTTGGTACATATATGAGTTCATATATTAAGTCATGATTTCCTGAAATTACTGTTTACCACTCTTACAGGTGTTTTGTTTCTGGGAAAAAAAAATCTGAGAATGAATATTCTCAAATAAATATTCTCTAGGATTTTCTGAGCTCTAAAAAAAAAATCTAAGCATTTTATTGTCTTCATGTTTTCCAAATCAGCATCCATAATTTAAAAGAGGATCATTGCCTTAAAAATGAACTAAGACATCTTGGCCATAGGCTTCTTTATAAATTAGTGCTAGTGACTGGGATGTAAATGGTTAGGAATGTGGTTGTTATATTTTCATGAAGCTTTTTACAGTGTTCCTTTTTTTTTTTTTTTTTTTTTTTTTTTAAATAATGGAACCTTCATATTAAGCCAAAGCCATTCAGTTGATTGGCACAGTTGGGACAGTTGAACATCTATATAATCCCTGGGAACCTGTCATAACTGACTAAATAATGGTGACATTCAGGATTATAAAGTAAAGTTAAAACTGACGTAATAGACACTGAATTTTTTTTCCCCTTACATGTGAATTCAGAGAAATTTAAATCTAGAAGAAAATACAAAGTAGAATTTTGAAAATTCTAAAAGAATACAAAATAATACTCAGCTCATTCGTTTATTAAAACTATTTTTTTACTTTCCCCCCTCAGTTCTAGAGTTTGAAAGAGTGTATCTTGATAATCTCCCCAGTGCATCCATGTATGAGCGCAGTTACATGCATAGAGATGTTATCACCCATGTGGTATGTACCAAGTAAGTCTTATCAGATCTTCTATTTTTTTCTCAGGAATTTATCTTTTTAAAGTTTCAATTAGCATTATATAGCTTTCTGTTTTAATTGCATAAGTTTTAATAGTTTGTTAAAGCCCCACATGTTCTTTCCTGTGTCATTTTAAGGAATGTGTTCACTAAGAAACCCAGAGTATATGTATACATTTTTTCTTAGAAAGTGTAGAGGGTGAAGCAGGTACTGTCTGAGCTTCCTTGAGGAAAGAGCATATTACTAAAGACAGGAATAATTTATAGCTGAACTCTTTGGCACGAAGAAAATATTAGGAAAGACAACATCCTAGAACTACCCCAGGACCTTCAAAATGAATGGATGGAGAATTTGGAGGAATAGTGATACTCTACTGTGAATCTATCTCATAGTTTGTCTAGGTACTGCTCTAAGGCTTTTGCATAAATTGTCTCTAACAGTCTTATGGGGCAGTATATAATCTTCATTTTTATTGATGGGGAAACAGATTTAGAAAGGTAATGGCAGAGGAGGCTTAAAAAAAAAAAGGCTAAATTTTAGAGGAATTCCCATACAAGGAATTCGTGTGGATCTTGAACCTATGAGAAGGATTTTTTTTTTTTTTTTTTTTAAAGAACCACTCTGGCTGTGAATTGAAAAAGGATAAGAATAGGTATAGGGAGAATAAATAGCAAGGAGTCTAGTGTAGACATCTGGATGAGATACTGAATGGCTTGGAAGGTAGCAGTGAGTATGGAAAGTAGAAGCTTTATTTTTTGCATCACTCTTTTCTTAATCACTTATGGATTACTTTATAATTAATCTCTGAAAACAAGTTGCACTTTAGGTATGAATATATATTATTCATATTTTATGTATAAGCCAATTCAAACTAAATATAATTACTTTTCTTATCCAAACTTGTCAGTGTAAAAAAGTAGCTAATGGATACTAGTACTCTTACCACTCTTTCAGGTTTATTTTTAAACCCAAGGTTGTGGAGTGTAACAAAAAGATTATAGGTTTTATGGTTAGATAGATATGAATGCCACTCACTATGAACCTAGAACAAGCAAATATATATATATTTTTTTTTCAGCTTTATTAGGGATACAGTACAGTTACATTCATTGTTGGGATCTTGTACCTCCACATGACAAGTCTTGATTCTCATTTTTTCCCCTTACCCCTGCCCTCCCTTCACCCCCTCCTCCCCTCCCCATCTACAAATACTTTATTTCCATCTTTTCATTATCTCACATTTTTTTCTTTTCCCTTATTACCCTTCCCCTACTCATCCGCAAATATATTTTTTAACTATTTTATGATTTGTAAAATACTGATAAAAATACCCATCTAATGGAGTTGTTATAAAGGTTCATTGAGGTGATATGTACAAAGTACTTGACATATACTTGGTTTCAATAAATAGTTTCTGTTTTTCTTTTTTTGCAATACCAGGAATTTAACTCAGAACCTTGCCCTTGTGAGACAGGCTCAATGCCACTGAACTAAATTCCCGGCTCTATTTCTCTTATAGGCAAAACTGTTCTGTTCAAAGTCTTTCTCACTTTTAAATAACGAGAATGTCTTGGATAAAATAAATATATGTTGACTTTTGCTGTGTATGAAAGTAGTTTATTAGCTTCTGAAAAATAGTACCTTTTCTCATATAAAGACTACCTACAGGATAATTTTAGCAATAAGATATCCTAGTCTAGGGCCCAGGGTTTAAGTCAGTGGTTCCACTGCC